AACAGACACAGGGATGATGTAAAAGAAATACCCACAATAATGAGCATTGTTACTCCTTCTCTAGTGGTCCAATTATCTATATAATAGTGATACACCTCTGTGAGGGACCATGGTACAAGTTTGATGCCAAGTACTGTACAAATCCCATTCAATATTTTGAGGGTTCAATGCAAAATTAAAATTTGTGCCTTGAATAGACAGTAGCAGAAGAGACAGCAGCCTCCGGGGGCCAGGGCTGGGAACTGTGCTGGCAGGAACTGGAAAGACCTCCAGGCCCATAAGACAGCTCATGAAGGATTTTACCCTGATAAACTCTGAACTCATTCCCTGCCAGCCAATTCAGACATATAACTGAAGGACTCAAGGCTGGATAATAAGGACACAAAGCCAGTTCTAACATGAATTGTGTCCTGATCTTCTCTTCTGAGAGGGTTTGCAGTTGAAAAAGAAGATTACTTCCTATTTAGAGTTCAGGTCAACCTGAATTCTAAAGAATGTCAAGAGATCTAGACACCCCTTGTGGTGCCTTTTAGGAGTTTAGGTCAGATCAAGATGCTTTTAAGGTACAGTAGGTGTGCAAAAAGATCACAGGTTTTCCTTGGCTCACACCTGTTCAAAATTAAAGTGGGCCACATGCCTTAAGACTGGAAATAAATTCAACACAATAAAAGAGATTCTCTTCAAGCATTTTGTTTCTACAAATTCACAAGTCTTCTTTCTACTTTGCAGGTATCATGAAGATGTGCAGACCTTTGAGACAGAGTATAGGACCTGCCTTCTTCTGTTACACTGACCCTTACTGTGTCCAAGCAGACTGCATCCTTGTCACCAGCTAGAGACAAGCTAGGGAGAAGAAGCAGTTTTTCGGAGAAAAACAGAAAAAAATTCCAAGAGAACAAGGAAGTAGTATATGCACACAACAGCCAGGTTTCTAACTCAATAGTATAGATCATGTCTCAAGTTGGCAAAATTCTGCACCTGTATGTGGAAGTCAGGTCAGTGCCAGAGGAGGGTGGAGAGATTCCTGGAGATGTGGTGGGCTCGGACACAGCAGACTTGCCAGAGGTGGAGCCCTCACAGCAGCACAGGCAGATTCCTGCCTCTGTTCCTTCCAGTGTCAGCATCCTGTCAGAGGGTGGGCATGAAGGGAGCAGCAGAAGTCAGAATACTAGTCCTCCTAAATCTCCATTAAAGCACTCTGTTGGTTTCAAGGAGCTCCAGCAGGTTGTCTCAATGGAGCAGAGTTCTCAGCAGTACAGGCAGAGCCAGTGCTATGACAGGATTGATCAGCTCCTGACAGGGCTGCATCCAGAAAGCATGCTCACGCACACACATTCAGATTATCAGCCCTTCCAAACTGGCAGCCAGTCTCCAAGGACAGCCACAGCCCCAGCCACACCTAGCAATGGGCGCAGGTCTTGCATAGGAACTGCAGGGGATGATGGCTGGCATTCTCTGGTTACCTTCAGTTACATAGAGAAGGCCAGTATCAAGACTGTAGAAAGCCCATTGAGAATCGGTTGCTACAGTGGGTCTACTGATTCTACCAATCCCTTTAATACAGCACAAGATCGGCAGCCAACACCTTCCCAGCCTCAAAAGAAGCTCAGTGATCCAGTATGGGTAGAGAACTTACAGTCTTCTGCTATTTCTAGCCCAAAAGCGTCCTGTTCAGGATCAGATGTCCTTGGTAGCAGACATCAAACAGCCTCTCCTAAAGTCCTTAAAAAAACCTTGACTTCCATTGCCACAGCTGCTACTAACAGAGCCCTGGAAGAGTTTGGCTCACCCCAGCTGAGACAAAGAGCTGGCAATTCCTCTGATAGCCCACATACTGCAACCAGGTGCACCCAGCAGCCACACTGCCAGTCCTGGGCAGAAAGTCCTGTTCCTGGGCACAGCACCACAGGTATTAGCACAACATGTGAAATGCACCCAGACAGTCCCAGGTCCATCTGCGGCCTGCCCAGGAGTCCAGCAAGTAACCAGCTTTCCTCCCAGGCATGCAAGTCTCCCTTAAAAGTGTCCCCTAACCTAGATGGATTTTCCAAGTCAAATCAAGTTAAGTCAAAGTCCCTGACATTCCAGGACTCAAGGCAGTTAACTGGTGGGGAGATCCCAACACTTACCTCCAAACTCAACCAAGCTCTTGAGTCGGAACCAGACAAGTCAGTCTCGGCTCTTCATGAGATGTCCCCAGCATGTTCTTTGCAAGGTGCCAGCTTTCAGAGAGTTAGCCAAGGATCAAAAGACAGTCCTCGCATAGGCCGTAAAGTGAACTTTAACCTGGGGAGCTCTCCCAGCAGATCACATGAAGGGGCAGGTCATCAAGGATACTGTAAGAACATCTCTCCGGTTAACAGTCCTGAAGTAGCCCGTAGATTAGCTCAAGAGGCTACTAAACTCTCCTCAATTTTTTTGGAAGCCAGGAACACTCCTTCACCATCCATTTTGACTGATAGCTCCAGATTAGAGAGCCCCAGAATGGGCCATTCATCAATAGAGATACAGCCATATCCTCTATCACAATTCCGAGGCTCACCCGTGCAGCCTGAGAGAACAGACAGTTTGTACATTGGATACCACCCTGGGAGAGTTTCACCTGGTTTGCAGTCAAAGGATGTCTGTTCACCAAGCCCTTTAAACAGAGAAGAAAAAAACTTTGCAATGCCACAGAGAGAGCACCCTGGTCAATATGGAGGCAATGTGGAATCAATCAACAGCCATGCAAGGATACAGAGGTGTGAACTGCCTGAGAGAGACAGTCAACAACCTGACAGACACAAGGCAGGGCAGTGTTCCAACAGCAATGAATCCTCCAGAGGCATCAGACATCATAGGTCTGAGTTACTTGGCACAAACAGTCCGAAATTTCAGAGATATCAGGCTGGACAGTTCACAGGAGACATCAATTCACACAGCAAGGATGTGAGAAGAGATCAGAGAGCTGATGGAGGAGCAAAAGATAGCATAGGTGCCAGTAGTAAATATGTGGGACAGTACAGGGGGGAAGCTTATGGAAAAGATAAAGAGCTCCATCAACAGCTGGGAGATGTGTCAGGGAGGGAGAGTCCCAAACTAGGATACCAGAATGTCATCCCAGCCTCCCCAGTCCTGCTTGCCAAGGAAACAGCAGCTCCGGAAAGAGGAACAGAGCAGTATGGGAGAGAGGCAGTAAGGCAAGCAAATGAGGGAGAGCAGGGCTTGTCTCTGGAGGGGAAGGAGGCTGGACCCTTTCTCAGGAACAGAGACAGCGTAGTGTCCACTTTCAGGCAAGAGCAGCAGCAGAGGAATGCCCCTGGGGCAGAAAGTGAAGAAGCTGGAGTAGAAGTTGCTCCAAATGGGAAGTCTCTGGCTGTGATCTGCATCTCCAGGCCCATGAGTGATGCTGACAGAGACAGCGTCTCTCCTGACGGGAGTCAGGCGAGTGGTTCTGTGGTCTCAAAGGTATGGTGCTCTAGAACAGGTGAAAGGGCTGTTTTGTCTCAAGTATGTACCTTGTGCTGACCTGAGAGCTTCTTTCGACAGAGACTTGTGTCACGACTAAGAAAGCTCTTCTCTCCAGTGCAAAGTTTGCTCAGCCCATCAAATTCTTGTAGTAAAAAGTGTTGAAAATGATTACATTGCTGTCAGGTCAGATAAGAGTTTAAACTACAGCCCTCCCTCTGTGTCAGGAGCATCTGTGACTAGTAGAGATATAGACTAGTGAAACTCTGAAAGCAGGGGAGGTGAGGTAGATATGATGTTATTTCCCATTATTTGACAATATCCATTTTCCATCTCACTCCCCGGCACCTGTGCGGTTAACCTGACCTCCAGCAGTGATTGGCAGCAGAACAGACTCCCAGACTGCCCAGGTGCACACACTCACAGTGTTAAAAGTGTTGGACAGGTGGCACTCATGCTGTAGCTGTGGGGCAGCTCCTGTATAGACAGGGGGTACGGGTCCACTTTACCTATTGAACCAGCACCTGCGCCTCCTGTTCTGGGCAGATTCTAGGAATTCATGTCCTTAAGTAACTTCAAAAGGAACAAGAATTATAATTGTTGTTTTTGGTGAATGAAGTTTTAATTTTCTCTCACTCTCAGTGATGGAAACCCTAATGTGAAGCTCTCCACCTGTACCTGTGGTCATGGGGGACGTGACTCATGAAGAAAAATAAATATAAGTAGTCTATGGAAAATCCATAAAAGAAGAGAAATGTGGCATTTTCTTATTAACTCCTGTTAAGCACTGCCTGCAGGGCTTTCTGTCTGAGCAGTGTGTCGTGAAATTTTTAAAACTGAGTTTAGAAATGATGTTGACACCCTGTTATTATTTTAAAAGCAGCATTATGCTCTTCTTTTGGCTTTCATTCACCTAAGTAACTGAAGTTTTGCACAATAAAATATCTCTCCCACCACTGACAGACAATATAAAAATATTTTAATTACACAATATTACAAAATGGAGAAGCCATAAAGAATAAGCACACATATTTTGCCAAGGTGCAGATAAGACTCTTTTGACCCTATTTTCAACTCTTCAGGAAAGATTTTATTTTTATTTGTATGTTTTTCATAATGACCAGAGAGGTCAATGGCGCTGTTCCATGATGAATCTGCCTTTTCTGTGGCCATTACTGTAGAGGAACAGAAGTGATGTGCACACTGTGGTTTAGTCATCTGGCTTGTTTGGCTGTGGATCCGAGCATCTGATCTAGCTGTTTCTAGAATGAGGCCTGGGGCAGGATAACATGTTCCAGATCCCTGCAACTCTTTGGGTAAAGATGTGCTTCCAGTTATGTTTTAAAAATACTTTCAGTTTTCAATTGTGCCCTCTGGTCCTGTTTTACTCCTGACCCAATAGAAGTCCCATTGGGCTGACATTTTCAGTACCTTTTTTAATTTTGGAGTTTTTCTGGGGGGTTTATAGTGTGGTGCAGGTTACCTTTAGTGTGACTTTTCACCTGTTGGTTTGTTGGTTGATGACAGTAGCCATGATCAATCATCCTAATTGCCTTGATTTCCACTATGTTGAGCATCAGCATTTTGCATGCTGGTAATACACCATGGTATTGGAAGATTTTGATTTTTTGTTTTTTGTTCAAATCCCTTCACGTTTTACGCACAACCTCATTTTGAAAGGGTAAAAACATTGCGCTCTGTTGAGTGAGAGGGGAATAGCACATTAATTTCTCAGCTGCTGATTGTAGCCATCCTGCCAGATAGAATTCAATCTGATGTACAGTAAATAGACATATCCAATGGTTCCTTTTATCTAAATTGCAATTCTTGAAGTGATAACTTGATGGAATTCGGGCCTCATTAAGCTAATACTGTAAGTTTCCAGTACATTCCAAATGCCCCTCATGTATCCTAAAGGGCAACAAAATTTCTCTTTAATTTAAATAATAATGAAGTATACTTATTAGATGCTGGCCATGATGTTACAGTGATTATAATCACTAGAGAGAAAAAACAGAAATCCAGATTTTCGAGCTGTTCTGCAGTATTTTTTTCTCTTACTGTTCTTCTTCTCTGATCATCTTTACTACACCTCACACTGCAGCCACCCAGGAGACAGATGCTCACAAAAGTTTCTTTGTGTTTGAGGTTGCTTGCAATAGTAAGTTTTTAAATAAGAAAAATAAAGTGTGCAGCAGGACTAATTTACTGCAGAGACAGAATTCTTATCACTAGGATCCCCAGGGCTGCATCTTGGTGATCGACCAATGAGCCTAGCTTCTAGTGTCTCACTTTGGTCACCATGTTACTTAAACACATTGCTTCTCTGAGATCAGTCCGCAGAAGAACAACCAGATACAGTCCATGGTTTAAAGACATGTCCTATTCTGACAGGCTGAAGGAAAATAACTATAGTCTGAACATGACAGACTATGAGGGGACTACTTGTAGGAGGGAATCCAAGTATTCAACCCTAAATGTCATTGACAAAGTCTAACCCTACTTCTTCAGAATCATCTGTGAAATGTGAATCAGAGGATACAAATGGAAACTACATGGAAGTACATTTAAAAATGAGAACAGGTCTTTATCCAAATGGCTGTAGATCTAAGGAATTTAAGGAAGATCAAGGAAACAAGTCTAATTTTGGATTCAGTGATTTTGAAAGTGTACTGTTGTCTGTGTATCTGTATCTGTGTCTGTGTGTTTCTTTGTGTGTCTGTTGTGTGTGCACTGATGCCTTGTCTCAGACCTCTGACCTCTGTGTTGTGTCCACATGTCTGTGTGTCTCTGTGTCTGTACTGCTGACTGCTCTATGCTGCTTTTGCAGATAGATAGTGTGTCCGGTTCATTGGGTCCTTCCCTGCATTCTCAGAGGATTGCTCGTGCGAAATGGGAGTTTCTATTTGGGACGACATCTGAAGACAGTGCCAGCGCAGGGAGCCAAGGTCAGTTTAAACCTAGAGTCTTATGTCCATAGTGACTCCTAACTTCACTGTGTATTTTTTTTTCACTTGCATCTGCCTGACAGTTTTCAACTTTTTGACCTCTCATTATTACAAAACGTGACCACAAGCCCTGTGTCAACAATAGGGAAGTAAGGAACGCATGTGAACCTCTCCCACCTGCCATTGCTGCATAATCATATGGCCAGTAGCTGCATCAGCATGTGCTTGCTGCAAAGCAATAAATACAATAAATAAATAAAGCAATAAATACAGGTTGTTCCTTTACTCCTCACTAAAAAGGAGAAAGAACTAACAATGACCGAATGACCAAATCAGGAACAAGATTGGTGCTAACCTGGTTTAAAGTACAGTATACTGCATCAAGACTGGAGACCCCTAGACAAGCCCATCACAGGTTAAACCCCCCCCCACCCACCCACCATGGGTTTTTCTACCACTGGGATGATGGGAGAGATCTGCAAAGTGAAAACAGTACCCTGCATGTACCACCCTAGTGTAAACAGTTTCCTGTTTAATTCAGAGCTGCTTTTAAACATGTTTACCTTTAGAAATTAGTCATGTCTGTCTGTGACGCATCTCTCTGAGATACAAGCAGGCATCCTGTTCTGTTCACTGACTCTGACTGAAAGCAATCAGTACAGTTTCTCTGCAGTATGAAGCACAGATAACTTTAAAGTAATAGGTTTATTCCACGCTGAACAAGAGAAGGAAGAAAACACAACGTTTCGGCCGTGGAGCCTTCTTCAGGTGTGAAGGCTCACACCTCTCACCTGACGAAGGCTCCAAGGCCAAAACGTTGTGTTTTCTTTCTTTTTTCTTTCTCATGGAATAAACATGTTACTGTACTTGTTCCTTTGCAGTCTACGCATGCTGACGCAGCTACCCACCTAAACTACTGCAGAACACTTTAGACCCTCAAAACATCTGCCAAAAGCTGTCAAACTGCACTACAGAATTTATAAAAGACAAACTACCCCCACCCTATACTAATTTAGAAACACATGATTTATGTAGCTGCATTATTATGTGAATAAATGTATAGATGTCTCACCCCTTTCTTTTTTCATGTCTTCTTCATGATATCAAAGTGGCCTCTATAATGCCCTCTAGTGGAGACTCCAGTGTATCACCTCTGGTGCCCACTCCCCCAACATCGCTTCCTATGTGTTTTGTTTCTCGTGGCCTGCCTGGGAAGGGCCAGGGAGTGACGTGTCAGCAGCTGGCCAATCACAACGTGCAGCATGTAGAGGTCGAACTTGTGACCCCATCCCCTGCAGATGGAGCGCGCTCCCCCAAGACTGGCATCATCCGACGAACAATAAAATACTCAGAGACAGATTTGGATGCTGTGCCACTGCGCTGCTACCATGAAACCAATATCGATGAGGTGTTGGCTGAGCAGGAGGAGGCCGATTCAGCCTTTGGCAGCAACCGCAGTGTGCTGGGCACCTCTGGTACTGACAATAGCCCCATGGGGGGCCCATTGTATGAGCGCACAGATGGGGAGGAGGAGCAAGAATTAGAGGAAGAGGAGGTGGCAGACTGGGCCAGCGTGCGGATGCAGGGTGACAGGAAGCGTCAGAACGCCAACCCCGAAGAGGATGAAGTTTTCAGCTTGCTACTGCGCAGGTGAGCAAGTGTGGAGTGTGAAACTGATATCCATCACATTGTGCCACTGATGCAGAAGCCATGACGTGGCACATTAGGGAAGTGCAGCAACGTTGAAAACAGAGTTTTCAAAGTTCCACTTTAGTCTATGAATTACAATTTGTATTTTGTTTTAAAAATCAAAGCTACAAAATAGTGGCATATGTGAGAATAATGAGTCATCCAAAAGAACACAAATAAAGGCAGTAATAATAATAATAATTGCTTACACTTATGCAGCGCTGTGGACACTCCACTCAAAGCACTTTACAGGTAATGGGGACTCCCCTCCACCACCACCAATGTGCAGCATCCACCTGGATGATGCGACGGCAGCCATAGTGCGCCAGAACGCTCACCACACATCAGCTCTGATAGGGGAGGAGAAGAGAGTAATGAAGCCAATTCATAGATGGGGATTATTTGGATGCCATGATTGGTAAGGGCCAATGGGAAATGTGGCCAGGGTTACACCCCTACTCTTTTCGAGAAACGCCCTGGGATTTTTAATGACCACAGAGAGTCAGGACCTCGGTTTTACGTCTCATCCGAAGGACGGCGCCTGTTTAGAGTATAGTGTCCCCGTCACTATACTGTACTGGAGCATTAGGACCCAGATGGACCGCAGGGTGAGCGCCCCCTGCTGGCCCCACTAACACACCTTCCAGCAGCAACCTTAACCAACCCAGTCAGGGGGAAGAGCTCATTCAGGTCAGGTATTTCTCATTTGGTTACTCACAGCTCAGAGATCCAAGGTATCCACGGTGCACTACTCCAGTTTTTTTTCCTCTGTATAGGTCTGTAATAGCAGTATTACAATTGTCCTTGTTGCATGTGAAGTAGTTTTTGGGGGTAACTGTGTCGATTCCTTTCAGGGTTTTGAATACAACTCAGCTGGAGGGTGGTGTGTCTGATTCCTATCCCTCTGCTCTGCTCCTGTGCAGCCCAACAGAGACTATGACTGATAGCCACCCAGCCCTCAAGTCTCCTATTGTTGTACCAGGACCCCGGCGGCCCTCAGAAGATGGTCTGGACACCTTCAGTCGCCACTTTGAAAGCATCATGGAGTCTCACCGTGCCAAAGGCACCTCCTACAGCAGCCTAGACAGCGAGGAACTGCTGACTTCCAGTCAACCCATCTTCACATTTGATATCCCCACCCTCACACCTGAGATCCAGGGCCAAATCTGTCAGAGCGCACGTCTCATTGAACTCAGCTTCGCCCCTTTGGCTCAGAGTGAGCTACCAAGCTACTTGGACACTGCCGACACTACTGAAGACTGCATGCACAGTAGCTCAGACTCCACCCAAGCTCCGTCTGGAGAAGCACTGAAGAGCAGACTGGAAGACTGCACCTCAGGCACCACTTTCAAGTCAGGAGACATATGGCTCAACATGCAAACTACTTCCAGGTCAGTGTTCATACTGCTTAGAAACCCTGTTACATAGGCACCCAAAGGCAACATCCTCAACCCTATTAATTCTAGCTTCTTCAGGATTTAACAGCCACTTGCAAATGAATAAGTCTATACTAAATTGCTTGCACGCCACAGCCCCTTTCTGCAACATGTTGTACAACACATAATTTGCAACATAATGCATGTTGGTATCACCAGTTATAACACAGGAAGCAGCATGCACTTACCAGTGCTCTTCCATCGAGCTTGGGGCTTTAGTATGGAGTGCTGAGGAAAGAATAGTGAGGAGTTATGATTTCTTCAGGTAGTGCAATTGTTTGAGGCACATCTGTAGCAGATTAGGAGTATATCTCTTAGATGTCTTCCGGCAGAAGGCAACATTCTGTTTACCTTCATATAGTATGTTGTAATGCACTCTGGTGGTAATAATTATGTAAGCTTTCTAAAATTCTAATCTACTTTTGTACCAGTTCTGCACTGTGCAATTTACAAGTATAGGCCTTTAAAGAAACAGAACACAAGTACTTAGACTTAGTACTCCTTTATAGCTTTAATGTTATGATGGCTAGGTGCCACTAGGTGGAGGAAAAAGGCTAGATTCGTGTTCTGGCTTTTGGTCACTTCTGCATAGCATAGTTTGTTCTGCACTGTGTGAGTTACAGGGAAACTAAAAATCAGGGAGTGATGGGTTGATGCAGACTCATTGTGCCAAACAAGACTACATTAACATGAACATGTCCTGTCATCACATAGTAAGGCAACTCTCTTTTTTTTAATGTTAAAAAGGAAGCATGTGCCACCTACTGTTATCCTCATGTTGGTAATATGGCTTCCTGCCTGATGCTTGAGATGTCTGTCTCATGAGTACAGGAAAGGCAGTTTCTGTGTCCAGCTGTCAGAGCTGCTGTGGTTCCCAATCCTGCTGCACAGCCCTGTTTCCAAGATGATACCCAGGTTGCTTTCCCTGTGGCACGGCAGTGATTGAGCAAAGCACTTTCAGATAAGATAGTTAAATGAAAACAAATTCATTCCCTACATTTCCAGTTTCGTTTTTTCTTTTAAAAAAGTGCATATCTCCTGATTGTCCTGTTATTATGCTGCTGGCTGTGTGTGCACTTATTACTGTCAGTGTGGGGACAAGGTCTGAAAAAACTACAGTGACAGTGTAAATCCCTTTTTAAAAACCAAATGACATCTTACTTCTAAAAGTGACAAAACATTGGTTTGGAAGTGAAGTTTCATTTGAGTGGAGTTTGGATAGTAAATAAAAACACAATTAGAGTCAATGGAAAGCCCGCACAAACATAGGAGTGTAACCATGTGTGTGCAAGACAATGAGTGAATGAGATTGTGTGTGAGATCCTGTATATATGATACTGAGACTGTGTGTTAGTTTTTAGTGTGTGTGTGTGTGTGTGTGTTTGTGTGGACTGTCTGTCAGATGATCTGTCTGTCAGATGATTTGGATGCCATGATTGGTAAGGGCCAATGGGAAATGGGTTACACCCCTACTCTTTTCGAGAAACGCCCTGGGATTTTTAATGACCACAGAGAGTCAGGACCTTGGTTTTACGTCTCATCTGAAGGACAGCGCCTGTTTACAGTATAGTGTCCTTGTCACTATACTGGGGCATTAGGACCCACGTGGACTGTCCTAATGACAGTGTTTCAGTGTTTATATGTGTGTGAGAGTGTCTGGACTTTCTGTCAGGTGATTTGTATGTCCCAGTGACAGTGTGTTAGTTTCTAGATGTGTGTATGTCAGTGAAGACTGTGCCAGGTGATCTGCCCGTCCCTGTGACAGTTTGCAGAGGACAAAGCTGCCCCTCCCGCTATCCCACCTGGCTATTTGCTCATGTTCTCTTTTCCATGTAAAACAGCGAATCAGATATGGAGTGCAGCCAGTCTTGTATGGTCTCCATGGAAACTGCAGATTAACTTCCTAGACCCTGTGATTTCTGTGTTTAAAATAGAACAAGAGTATAAAAAAGAGAGCTGGGAGAGAGATCGAGCTCTGTGAGCCGCCTTGACTGTTTAGCAGTAGTTTTGCAAGTCATTAGCAGGTTGTTCAGTGTGGGAGGAGAAGCACAGGGGTGTTGAGACATTAACACATTAGCACAAGCTGACAGACAGGTACAGCACAGTCAGCCTTTGGAGACAGACTCTCGGAACAAGTTCAAGTTGCTGTATTCAGTTTGACACATAAAACAACACACTGCAGTTAGCACTGAAGAAGTCAGAAGTATAGCCCACTTCACACAGACACATCCTGACACCCTATTGTGAAAACATAATTACTGCTTCCAGCCCTTCTGAGGAAAGAGAGTTCATTTCTGTTGTTAAAAAGGGCTTCTTAAAGGTACATACTCTGCATTACTCAGCTGAACAAGCATGATGGGCACATTAATGAAAATAACTGCAAGCCTGCCTCCCTGTCGCTATAGTTTTATGCATTTTATGTTTTTTTATGTTTTTTTCATAAGGATGTTTTACATACTCAGATTACAATCCATACTAGTGTTGTAACAGAAGAAATAAGGTTCTTGATCCCGAGATGAAGTAAAACAGATGAGTTTATTGCATGCAAGGAACAATAAAGCCGAAGTCTTGTTTCCCGCAAGAAACAACAAAACCGAAGTATTGTTCCCCGTACTGTTACAAACTTTTGGGTTATATAGTGTTTTCTTCTCCGTTTCTGTGTAAGCGAAAGTAAAATCTTATGATTAGACAATTTTTAGTTTCCCGGTCAATAAGTTATAAAAAAAACCTTTAAAGAGTTTATACAGACACAGAATCTCAAAAGCCACTGGAATAATTAATAGGAGTTCAAATAACCTTAACCTTTACAACCAAGACTCCATAAAATAGCTAATCAAGTACAGTATAATGCTCTTGATCTAGCTTGTAAAATCAGATAAAACTGTGCTGCCACACATTTGCACCTTTTTCTCTACTGCAATAAACTGTAGCTCTTACCTCTCTATTTGCTACCCCCCCAAAATATAACAAGATCTTCTTATTAACTTTAGATTTAACTTCCAGGGGTACACATGAGAAACAATAAATTTGTCAACACTACTTGTTTAATCTCAACACCTTTCCTTTGAATGTTAGATTCCTTCCTGTTCACCAGTTTAATTTACCATTTATTGTATTTTCTATTTCTCTCAAACTTATTTCTCCATCTGAATTTAGTATCAGTTCACTAATCTACTTACCCTTATGTCTGCCTCTGTAATCTCTTTTTTTCCAATTCATTCTTCTTTAATTCATTCTTCTTGCTCTTCAGTCTCAGATTCCATTACCTCTCTCTACTCTATAGCAGAAAGTACTGTACTGTCATTTGAGTTTCATATAAGAATTACCTGTTCTTCTACACCCTCCTCTCTCTTACTTCCTTCTCAGGCCTATGATCTCTTGTTGATAATCTGCTTGTTGTACCCAATTAGTGAAAGATTGTAAACAGTTTTTTTTTATAAATGTAAAACTTCTTCTCACAGATTATATGATCTTGTATCTAGGTAATTAAAACATTTATGTTCAACTTGCATATATTTCCCACAAAACATTTTTGTGTATGCTGCCACCAAATACCCTAATTCCCCACATCTCCAGCAAACTTAGACTGACCTTGGTAAATATTGAACCCTCTCCTACCACGTAATACAGTCTGTGCAGGAAATATAATAATAAT